TTGCCCTCCACTGTACATCAACAACTTTACATACTTATTTCCATTCAAGTTAAATATTTAAGACTATTCGTAGACAGCAGACTGTCGTGGAATCCCCGCACAAGACTTAAGAGACGACAACTGAACAGAAAACCGAAATCTGTTTTGACCGTCAAAACTAAACTAACCTTATACAAGACGACCTTTTTGGACATACGGAGTGGAACTGTGGGTTCTGTCAAGCCATCCAACATCAAGCGCAGCCAATCTTTACAATCAAAAAAATTTTTGCCAACCTCTCGATCCATCCGAACCTCGGCCTGGGTACTGACTGCATTCACCACACGTTTTACACACCTACAAAGGTAGCACGACTTACACCATGCGTACCTTATACTGTGTAGAACTTGCTAGCACTTTCCAGCCAGTGCAATGCAATTCAGATTGTTTGTATTGCTGAAAGTGGTGCCCCTTTTATTTAATTAGTGATCCTATATCCATCGGTAGCGACTCAAGTTTGTACGATTACATTCTGAATCGTTCTTTGAATTCAAAAAAATTCACAAAATCTAAAATAATCCCTGTTCTGCATGTTTTTCACGTCTAGTAGCGTTTTATCAAGCCACGATCCGCAATTTATTCGTCATTACTATCAAAAAGTAAACCGTTTAGCATTACATAAAGACTTATAATAACACAACTTATAATAACAACTTCTAATAAATCATTCTGGACAGTTACGAAAAGGATCCTCTACCACCACATTCCATCTTTTCCCGTCGAGAGGATGGATCATGTGACAAGTCTGACCAAGAAAAAGCCGATACAATTGCTCGACATCTCCAAGAAACCTTCACTCATCATTCTGATCCTGACAATGTTTCAATCAAAACATATTAATGAATACGTCCTTCTAAAAGCTGTCTCTCCCGCGGAGGCCAAATATACCCTGTCAGTCTTGGACCGCAAAGCTCCTGTTTTTGACTTAATTACGCCCCAAATTATCCATCAATTCCCTCAAAAGCTATTATATTTCTCGCATACCTCTACAATTGTATATTCCGAAATACATATTTTCCCTTATTCTGAAAATATTAGAACACCATCCTTTTCCTGAAACCTGGAAAACCAGTTTAAAAACCTAATTCCTATTGGTTTACTTTCCATCATGTCCAAAGCATTTGAAAAAATTTTCCTTAAAAGACTGTTGCAAAAATTAAACTCCTCTAATCTTCTTCCAGATCATCAGTTTGGCTTTTGCCCACATTATTCCACAACCCAGCAAGTGTGTCGCATCGTGCGCGCAAAGAATATCTCATTGGGGCCTTTGGCGTTTGACCTAGGCTCACGTTTAACGTGGAATCAGGACACACTATGGAAAAGACAAGACCTAAACAGACATTACGGTCTACTCTACAAACTTATAGGACGACAATGCAGGTTATAGACAAACAAACTTAGGCCTCTTTCAGACGAGGCAACTACTGAACGAACGGGTGTCAAGGACTATAACGTGGAACCAAAATGTATGGGAATCGCCCGAACCATTTCACACCCCGTCAACTCGTCCGCCCAGGCGCGGCCAGCAGGCACAAGCCCCACTGGTTGACTCAACTCAAAAGACACTGCTCGGCATTCGTCCTTCACACCAGTCGCCTAGTTGAGTCAAAGTGTTCACCATGGAAAGCGTTGCAATTGCAAGTTTCAATGTGAAGCAGTTCATTGAAGATATTCGTAAGATAAAATTAAAAGAAGCGAAGCTTGGAGGGAAATAGTACAACAGTATTTGAGAGAAAGCGCCCGTTTCCCAATTTTATAACAACGGATAAACCCACACTTTTCTTTACTGGGTTTGCTCCTATTTTGCTTCTCTTTTTGCAGAAGAGGAAGCACAAGAAGTGCTCCTGCTTCCTCGGGTTCTAACATCGCAGTGACCTCCTTTTGGGAAGAGAGGTTGATTCCGCAAGTTGCCTGGTGTGAAATCGAGTCTTCACGCGGGAGTAAACTAATTGGGAGTCAACCGGTCAACTTGGTTCAATCAACAAACCGCCTCGTCTGAAAGAGCCTACAATCCTCAAAACGCTACTATAATCGATTTGGACATACGGTATAGAATTGTGTGGAACCGCTAAACCTTCCAGTATCCAATATCCAACGTCTCAAATCCTTTCAGTCTAAAGTTCTCAAATGCTCCTTATTTTGTCTCGAATACTACCCTCCACAACGACCTTAAAATCTCATTTACCCAAAAATTTACCAAGTTTCACAATAATATCTCCCACCACCATAATAGTCTCGCCCAAGCTTTGTCTAACAGAACACTTCCCTACAATCCCATGAGGCGACTCAAGAGGTAACGGTCCCGCGACCTCCTTTCCGAGGAGAAGGCAGTGAAGTTTGTAATTGCACATTGTAATAAATTGAAACTGAAAAAAATCATTAAGAAATGCAGGATTAAAAATAATCTCGACCTTTTGGAAGTAGGCACTAATATTTTGATAATAAAGGCGATCTGGGACTAGTATTAATAGTACAAATAAAGGGGGATATTTTACAAATATTAATCGTGACGGGTTGTCCGAAAATTAATGCAGGTTTTCATGTTTTCTTTTAATTACCCCTCAATGTAGTAAACTGTTTACGTTTAATGGATTATTCTTTTGTACTAATCTCAACACTTTTTCATCCACTTCCAAACAAAATCGTTTGTTTACCTCATTAGCATTTTGTTATTTTGTATTTGGGAATAATTCAGACTTTGCTAAGATGTCAACGGGTGATTTTCGCGTAATTTCGTTTTACGAGTTGAAACTCGATCAGAACTTGCCCAAACGGCCCAAATCTTAACGAAGTCTGGGGCGGCGGTAGTAACAGTGAGAGCACCGTTCAGAGATGGTTTAAAAAATTCCGAGAGGAAAACTTTAGCCTCGAAGACAAAGGAAGTCCTGGAAGGATTTATTCTCTGGCTGATGATGTTCCGCGAGATTTGGTCGAAGAAAATCCCAGAACAACTATTCGAGATCTTGCAGAGAATCTTTTAGTACGCAAATCGACCGTCACTGACCATCTTAAAGCAATTGAAACAGTGAAAAAGCTAGAACGTTCAGCATTAAACGACCGCCAGAAATATCATCATTATGAAGTTTGCGCAACACTCCTTTGCCGAAACAGAAACGAATCTTTTCTGGACTATTACTTGTAATGAAAAGTGGTTTCTCTACGATAACAGCAGACGTACTGGACAGGGGGTCAAAAAGGGAAGCAGCACCACATTTTCCAAAAACCCCAACTAATCAGAAAAGGTAATGGTGACACTTTGGTTGGTTTCATTTGGGCTGATTTACTACAGCTTCTTGAATTCTGGTGAAACAATAAATGCCGAAATGTAATGACATCAAATTGAAGCAATGCACCAGAAATTGGCATTATTGATGCCATCTTTGGTCAATCAGAAAAGGCCGATTCTATTACATTGCAATGCTCGGCTCCCATGTCTCATGTGGCAACACGAAAGTTGGAACTTGGTTATGAGGTTCTGCCTCACTCTCCCTACTCTCCAGATCTCACCCCTACCAACTACCATTTTTTCAGACACCTGGACAACCTTTTACAACATAATAATTTATTGATCAAAAGGCGTTAGAAATTGCGTCTACAGAATTTTTTAATAATAAAGACTCAAAATTCTGTTCAGACGGTACAGAGTCATTGTCGTCACGTTGGGAGAAATGTATTGAGAGTGATGGAAGGTATTTTAATTAATAAAAAAAATTGTAAATAATTTATTTTATTGTTTTTGTTTTTTAACAATAAACCTGCATTAATTTCCGGACAACCCAATGTTTTAAACTATGTGTAGTTTTTAGTGACCGTTAATAAATGATTATTTGGAGATCGTGAGATGCGGTTTTGTGTGATGTAGGTTTAGAAAAATATTTTCTTTATTGTGCCAACGTGTCGATCTTTATTTAGACCATCTTCAGGGCCTGGGATTTACAAACAGTGTTTGGATTATACATATACATGTAAGATGTAAAAACGAATTTCTACAACGATGAACGTAATATAAAAATTTTAGTTTTATTCAAAGTATTTGTATTCACTCAAAGTGTGTTTTCTATGTAGATATGTCACGGTTGTGTGTCGTGAAGCAAGTGGAAGGCTGGTAGAGGAAACCGTTGAACTTATGAATAGGATTACTACCAGGTACGAGAATAGGTTAACCCTCATTTGGATGCCAGCTCATAAGGGGCACTATGGCAATGAAGAGGCGGACAGCCTGGCCAAAGAAGGCTCAAATACCGCGTTTGTCGGGCCACAACCGGTATTACCCCACTCTATAAGCACAGCGAAAGAGAGTATTAATTGCTGGGGCATGAAACAATTCCTGAAAGAATGGAATCTGTCCCCCGGACATAGGCAATCGAAGGAGTTTCTAAGGAAATCAAACCAAAAGAAGCGAAATGGTTATTCTCTAACTCAAGGAGGGGAATTTGGAGGATGATAGGTATCCATCCTAACGGGCCATTGCCCCTTGAGAAGACACCTCTTCATAATGGGTATCCTNTATATATTATACTCACTAAATGTGTTTGTTTTCTGTGTAGATGTGTCATTGCTGTGTGTCGTGATGAGAATGCCAGTGTTTTTTTTTATATTCGTTGGATTTTGAAGGAGTGGGGAGTATAAACTCTAGGCCCTGAAGATGATCTCAATAAAGATGGAACGTTGGCACGTTAAAGAAAATGTTTTTCTAAACCACGTCACACCAGACCCATCTCCCGATCTCCGAATAATAATTTTAAACTATTTTTCTTGTATTTTCGACTTTACAACAAGTACATTGTACTTTCGTCCTTTCTTTAATATGAAACAAAATTTGTACAACTACTACGTAAATAGTATTAGTTTGTAATTAATTATAAAACAGGACCCTGGCAGATAATTTTAAAAATGTGACGTGTACTTCTGTGACGTCATACATAATCATACTCCACCACTTATGGTAGGTTTTCTTGAGGTTACCATTCCACTTCGCCTCTTGACAATAGAAACCGACGTTCACTCTGTTCCCACTCACACGTCTTTCAACGCATATGTTGTTGTTAACCGACATAAATGTGTATTGTCACTCGTAAATTGTTCAGTTTAATTTTGTCACAAGATAGAACATTACATTTGGCATAATTCAATTTATTCCAGTCGGTTTTATTTTTCATCTTTGGATCAGTTTTACTGCAGACATGGTCAGGGTCGTATTTTAGTCACTGCAGTTTAAAAAAAATAGAGATTTTTCATTAACTTTTGCCTTCTGGCACGTAGTCTGAGCACAAGTAAAAAATTGCGAAAATGGCAGAAACCGTCCTCCTTTTACAGAACTTTCACGAGGTGAGTGGTGTTTAAAATTTCAAATGGCAATGGGCATTTCTTAAGTTTTAGTCCTTTTCTAAACAGTCTTTTTTAAATTTTGTTTATAATCCTTTGTAAAATCTATAAGCCTTTCTTTAATAAAACATGTTTGATAATATTTCTTTAAAATCTGTCTGCAATTGAAATATCTCAATGTATTCTCAATCACTAACAACCTAATGAAGGAACATCTGATACCCATGTCCCTTAGAGACGGCATGAACAAGATGAATTCAAGTAAAATTTCCAAACAAATCTAAGTACCAAAAAAAAAGAATTGGAAAGAGGGAAAAAATCCTTGAGAATGGCACCATCTGCTGGTACATTGAAGGATCTACAACACAAGAAGGTATGTGGGCAAGAATGTTCGGACCTGGAACCGAATACTATGATCATCCTACTAGCTAACTCTGGTACTACATTTCTCCACAATAGTGTTTTGGGACATACATGCAACTGTAGAAGAGATTCAACCACTGAATCTGGGTGTATTAATAGAGTTCCTTGATGAACTAGCACTCATCAGTATGCTATAAGCACAGAATGGGGGACATAATACTTAATTATAATTAAAGGGTGCCGTATAATACACACCCCGGCTAATACATCTACATCTATTGCCAATTACTAACAGCCTAATGAAGGAACAACTGATACTCATGGCCCCAAGAGACGATAGGAACTAACAGGAGAAGTTCAAGCAAAATTTCCAAACAAATCTATGTACCAAAATAAAAAATGGGAAAGAGGGGGAAAACCCTTCAACAGCCCATCTGCTGGTACATTGATGGATCTAGAATGCAAGAAGGTTGGGCAGGAGTGTTCAGTACCAACCACATATTCAGAACTCATGGGAAAATACACAAGTAACTTACAGGCTGAAGTTAATGTAATCGAAAGAGAGAAAGATTCAATCTAAGCAAAGGGTACAAAAACAACAATATAATTATCATATCAAGCAGCCTTCATAGCACTAAGTTAAACCACCATTAGCTCAAAAATGGTGCTGACACTAAACTAAACAAATCAAGTGCACAAAATAAGTCACACTCTGCTAGGTCCCAGGACATGAATAGAGGGAAGATATCTTTGCCAGGGCTGCTGCTATCCCGCTGATAGGCCCCCAAGCCCTTCTCTGGCGGGGATTCACACTATCAATGTATATGACAAAAAGACAAAATGAAAATGAAGAGAAACATTAAGCTAAACTCGAAAGAGTGAAACAGTGAGAATAGACCCAGTAAAATTATCAGTGTTGGTCAGTTGACCAGGTTATATTTGCCCAAACTAATTCATATGCAACATTAGTATAAAATCAAACTTCAAAATGTAAATATAATAATTGATTTTTTTTTTTTCAGAAAATAAAAACCAAAACTACTCAAGGAAATGGCTTGTTATATGGAATACCCTGTGGAACGACAATTGTTATACTTGGTGCATGTTTTAACAATACTGAGAAATTGATTAATGCTGAAGCGATGATATGTAAACTTCCATCGGGGGTGCAAAAATTAGGATTGGTGGAAGTGAACAATGAAGCAAACCTAACGGACTTTCCAAATTCTTGCCAGGTAGTTAAAAAAAAAATAAAATAACATACTTAGTCAGCAGACTGGCATGGAACTCCCACACAAGACAATTTAACAAAAGACTTGGACAACTACAAGACCCAAAGCTGATGTGTTCATGTGCAGTTCTTAGGTCACAGGTTACTGATGTATGGTTTTCTGGGCAGAATCAGCATATTTCTTCTAACTTGGCTGTGCCTAGCATTTTTAGATGATTGTTAAGAGGGCATTGGATGGCATAGAAGCCTATAAATTTCCTCAAATCAGAGAGAGAGAGAGAAAGGACATGTTCCTCTTCCGTTTTGACGGATTAATGAATTCCTTAGCTTGCCTCTCTGCCTGCTGCTTTCGTTCAATGCATGTCCCCCCCACCTTAAACATATTTTTCCAGCTTCAACTTTAGCAAAATCGACAATTTGCCAAGTTGTGATTCCAATCCCCTGGGTGAGAGGGCTGCTCCTTCTTTGGCTAATTTAATCAACTGTTCATTTCCTTCTATTAATTGTCCCGATGCCGACCTCAAGGTTTTTATTTTTTTTTATTTTAACAAGCCATTTTTCCAGCTCTGGCTTTAGCTTTAGCTCTGGTAACCTAATTGTGCTCTTTTCCCATAAGTGAGAGAGCTTTTCCTTCATCTAGGTGGTCAGCCTGTTTCATTCATTTCCTTCATATACCTTTATTTCCCGGAACTCACCTCATGGTTGGATATGCTTGATTGATGATTGTGTTTTCCTGGGGCCATTAAGGAATTTAGATGTCCAAGAATAGTTTTGAGCTAAAGTATACGTGTTTACTGCCTTTATTGCTGCCTGGTTGTCCAAAAGTAAAACAATGCACACCGTCATTGTCCCCCCCCCCCTGTCTGTACTCAGGTAGTAATATATAATTGGAAACAGTCCGAAGGTTTTGCTAGGGTGTAATTCAGCCCTCTTACACCTACACAGACTCCGTGTTCCATCTATGATCAGTGTACTGTATTAGGGCCCATTCCGGAAACTTAGGGTTGCCTTTCTTCCAAAGATCTCTGTTCTTTATCTCCTCTTGGAAGGGTCAGTAAAAGTTGAGTTTCCCTCTCATTTTATCATGTTATAGCTATGTCAAGTGATCATGTGATTTAATTGTTTTACTATTAATTTTAAGATTATGAATGAATATTAATAAATTTCAATTTTTTTTAGATGGAGTTTCAAGGATTTATTTTAATGAAGGATATCAAATCAGAAAGGATCCAATTGAAAAAAATGGTTCAACACAATTTTCACACTGTTCCATTTAATGTCATCGATAGTAATGAATTCAATTCATTGGTAATGACAATGAGAGTAAAAGGTAATTTCTCTCTTGGTGTCTCCGATACTGGAGAACTGCAAAATTGTATTCATCATTTGAAAAATCAGGTAATACGATAATTAATTTGTATGTCTGTGTCTTATATAATACAGTACTTTTCACAGTATAAACCTAATCAGCACATTTTTTCATGTATTTACACATATAAACTATATAAAGTACAAAAAGTAAATTTGTTATTAAGGGTTAAAGGATTTACTGAACAAGAAAGTTGTACACCCACAATGGAAAATAGTATAGGAATTATAATTAAAATTAGAAGGCGGAATAAATTATTCAAACAAGTAGAGAAATGAAAAGGCTATAATTTCAGTCACTACTGAGCCAGTGTTTATTGGACAATAAGAAGTAGACACGCTCGAGTAAAACACAAAATATTGGGCAATCCGCACAACAGATAAACAACTGAATCACACTAAAATCCTAAGTAATTGTGCTTTGATTTTAGATAACTACAAATGAGTGGTTTGGCGTCAAAATTGATGAGTCCGAAAATTGCATTACAGAAAAATCTTTACAGAACAACAAGAATTCGATTTCAGAATTAAGCGTTGATACATCTTCTAAGAGTAAGGTGAGTTGGACCCACAAAGGTCCTTTTTTTCTAAGACTAATGTTTTGGCTGATATTCTCTTGGAATGAAATTGTGCTACTAATTTAAGAGTTGATGTCGGTCCAGTGTTATCTCCAAGTGGCCTGATAGTCCAAATCAGCAAGGATAGGCACATGAAATTAGGGTTGTCTTGTTGTCTTTTGGTCAATATTGGGCGAATTTGTAATACTATAATACTTCATATAAGAACGTTTATATTATATCTAGTCATTACTTCTGTTTTCATAAATTATGTTTCACAGGAAAACATTGAAACATAGCTGTGTAACCTAGCCTATAAATAAAAATGATGATTCTACTCACAAACTCATTTAGCAGTGAACCAGATTTCAAGATGATTGTTAATCATCAGCCTGTAAGATATCTACAGTGCTATGCTTATTCCACTTGTAATCAGTTGCATATTCTGATGATGAGCAATACACCTCGAAATTCTAATCACTGCAAAAACAAGTTAGAACCATCTTTTTTCTGTAGATATACTCACTCCATCATGGCCGTTTTTTACTACCTAACACCTAGCACCAAATTAGAAGAAATGGATGAACTCAAGAGTTCAACTCAAGAGGCTTAACCTTACTTAAACCATCCCTATCCAAATTCTAGCCTAACCTTATCTGACTTAACCTCACCTAACCCATGAGTCCCCGGTAATGTAAAATCGATGACGCAAAAATAGACCTGCAAAATAATTTGTGTATCCAACCCAAAAACATTTCTATGTTAAAAAGAAACACTATTTTTGAAGAGCAAATTATATCTTTCTTAACCCATCCCTACCCTTTCCTAACTCTAATCTAACTTGTCCCTAACCCCTATTCTACCTTAACTTAGTCTGCCCCTAACCTAACTCTCACTCTTCCTAACCTAATCCTAACTCGACCTAAACTAATCTAACCTGTCACTAACCTCTAACCTGACTCTCACCTCACCAAAACTAACCCTAATCCTTACCTATGTGACCTACCCTAACCCACACAATGCATGGCCTCGCTGATAACACAAAGTCGATTATGGTCCTGCAAAAAAAGTTTTTATCTGGCCCAAACATATTTCTGTGATAAAAAAAGACTGTTTTGTAAGAGCAAAGTATATCATTGAATGAAAAGAAGGGTGTTAAAACCAATTATTTTCAGCTTTGATTTGAATATTTTTAAGTACAAATACCTTAAGTTGTATCAATTACAAAAGTCATTATTATTGAAACTGGTGTTTCTTTTAAATACTATTTTGTTAAATTACTGTTGCTACATAAAAGTATTTTTAATATTTTTTTTTAGATAGATTTAAATCTCTCTGTGTTGGAGCCTAAATCACAAAATGTAGGAGATGACCTGAAATCAATGGTATATACTACAGAACTTCCATTGAGTAAGTAAATAATTTCAATGTTTTTATTTGTTTGGGTTTTTATATAAATTTTTTAATTATATTTCCAGCGAAAAAACAGAACAAACTTTGTATAAATATTTGCATCGATGCCTTATGCATTACTTGGAAGAAGACCGCCCAGAGTGTGTTTATAGAAAACATTAAACAATGTATCATCAATTATCTCAGTTTATATTATGATGCCTACTGTAAAGAAATGTCGGCAATGTCTGTTTTGAAAAGCTATCATTTCAGCCCTGAACCACTAGGACACCCTTTAACCATAATATACAGCAAAAGCAAAAAGGACGATATTCATGGTAATATTTTTATTAGACCTTATTGTTATTAAAATTTTAATAAATGTCCGTTTTTCAGAATCTGAAAGGGAGAAGTTACATATATTGTTTGACCTTCCTTTGAATCAGCCTTATTTTAGAAAAGGTTGTTCTATTACAAGTCACAATTTGATCTCCAAAACATGCCCAATCACAAATGTCCATGTAGGCTTGAGTCCATCAGGATGTAAGTCAACGGGGTAGAAATTTTGTTATGCAAATTATTTGTTAATTACAATTGATTGAGTCATTTACTTTTACAGTAACCAATGGAAAATGTGTCGTCATCAAGCGTAACTATTCATATTTTCATTACATGCAAAATAATTTTAATGATTCTGGTTGGGGCTGTGCCTATCGTTCGTTACAGACCATTTTCTCATGGTATTTGTAAGTAAATACGTTATATGAATATGTATCATTTGAGATATATTCATTTTTATTATATGAACAAAAAATGTAATTTACAAAAGTATCAAGTCATAAAATAAGTCCATAACCTTTTAGTTTTCCTGTTCATCGCTATCATCTGAGAATTAATGATTATCATGCTTGACAAAAGGACTCAGAGGGAACACATATCCCATGTAACTGCAGCATCAAGCTAGCAGACTCAACCCTTAACCTAACTCTACCTACCTCCCTAACCTAACATGTCCATTGCCTTTAACGTAACTCGCTTCACTCTACCTACCTAATTAACATTCCATTGTCCTTAACCTAACTCTTATGTTACTTATCTTGCCTACCATGTCCCTTACCCATAACCTAGTTCTCACACTACTTGACCTAACCCTAACTCTACCTAACCTCTAACATATTCATTGCCCTCACTCTACTTAACCTAGCCCTGACATTACCTACCCTCGCCTAACATGACCCTTGCGCTTAACCTAACCCTACCTCCCTAACCTGTCACTAACCCTTAACATATCTATCTCTCACCACACCTAACTTCCATCTTAATCCTAACTAACCTAACCTGACCTAATCTTTTCTAACCCAACCCATGTGCTCCCTGGTAACACAAAATAAATTATGTAAAAATGGTCCTCTCATAAAATAATGACTAAATAAACATTGCCTAAAACATACGATATAAACAACATTAATTGTTCAATTTATTGTTTTTTATAGATGGCAGGGTTATACAGATTGCAAAGTGCCTGATCACAAAGATATACAAGAATGTTTAGTAAAATTAAGGGATAAACCGAAGTCTTTCATAAACTCGAAGCAATGGATTGGATCTAATGAAATTGCTTTTTGCCTAGACGAAATGATCGGAGTCCAATGCGAAATCTGTCATATTTCGTCACGGGAAGAACTTGTCAATTATGGAAGCAAATTAGAAGCTCATTTCTTATTTAATGATACTCCTGTGATGATAGGTATTATAATTATGTTATTTGGCACCTAAAATATTACAGTACACAGTTTAAATTGTCTGAATTAGTTTTAAACAAAAAAGTTATTGTTGAAATCATCAAGATCTCCCAAAAAAAAGCTTTTTAAGTAATTACTTTAAAAAAAAAAAAAATCCAATTTTACAACTTATGTTCACAGGGGGAGGACAGTTGGCGCATACAATTATCGGTACACATTTTAATAGAGAAGAGGGTGAAATCAGATTTCTAGTCCTCGACCCTCATTACATAGGAAAAGATGATATTAAAAGTATACAGTCGAAAGGAGGAGTAGCATGGAGACCAATAACATTCTGGGAAAAGAACACTTTCTTCAATTTGTGTCTTCCAAAATCGCCAAAAGTTGCATACTGAACATCCTTAACTCTACATAACATCTTAGAACAATGGACTTGAAAATTTGATATTCTTGTAAATTTATATACCTATTAATTGACATTTATTGGCAATCACATAATATAAACTTAATAAGTTAATAAAATTAATATAAAAAACTTGTTTTCTTACAATTATGAAGAAGAAGGAAGACAGTATTTTGATAAGTGATCATTGGACCATAATGTTTATGCATCTTTTTCCTTTATTAATTCACAAAGTAAAAGTAACAATGATTTTTTTCAGGCATATGGATGAATTTTGATTGCCTAATTTTTTGATATAATATTTTTTATATTACATTTACAATATGAATGTCAGGGAACTGATATCTGAACCGTGATACCATGTCAGGAGCTTCTCCTTTTTAGTAAAAAACAGTTGTTTAATGGTGTTAAATTATGTTATTAAAATGACATTGCTTTGTTTTAAGTAAATTTTGTGTAAATGTTTTAAAATTTTATTTTTTGTCAAATTAAAATGGAAATTGTTTACTGTGATTTATCCGCTTTAAAATACATATTACAGTAGCTACATAAGTGTTACCAAATTATAACAAAGAATACCAGTTTATTATAGTGAAATCAAAATTGATTTAGCATATACAATGTCTGGCATTGTTTATCTCTTTTATAAAACGCCTTCTAAAATAATTTTTATTTCATTTGTATTGAAATGCTAATAAAAAATATTATTTTTATAAAGTTGGTTTTTATATAGTTTAAATTGAAACACATTAATTTAACATTTACATGATTTAGGTAATTCCTAGTTGTCTGATTACATACAGGAACCATTTCAAACCTACTTGTACTCCTTCCCTTTGCCTATTTTCCTTTTACTTCTTCATACATTTAAGCAGATTTTTTTTCACAGATTCAGGTTTGAAGATGGTACAAGATTTGTTGTCTGTGAATCACGAGTATATCGTTCTAGTTTCACTAGTGAACTGACTCAAAGCCATTAATATCATTTATGTCCCCCATATCACCTTAATAAACTTTTCAGCACTAACCACTCTAAACGACCCTCAATCCACACACCAAGGATATTCATACAAAATTAAAACTGTTCACATGGAGTACATGCCATGATGTCAAAACTGAGAATGAAAAGGTAGTTTAAATGGAAAGAGGCTACTCAACTGGTATTCCCCTGGAAAAGGTCTTCTTTTAGTGACTTCTGCTATCACTTTAGACAGTTCATCTGAGACGCCTAGGGGTTAGTTAAACTAATACATCTGTGCTGCAATGAGACTGACATAAGTTACCAGCATATGAAAATTTGCAGAAGTCATTGATTTAAAAAAAAAAGACGTGGAAACCGGTGAACGAGGTCAAACCATATAAACCAATATCGCTTTTACAGTCTTGTTAAAAAGAATAACATTGTAGAAAAAAAGATAATCATCTCTGACCACCAATTTGGATTCCGAACGAGACATTCAACTATAGACCAAATTCATATTATCCAGTATCAGTTTCTATCTGACAGAGATTTGAGAGTTAAACAAGAAGATCAATATTCAGAATTAAAACAAATTCAGGAGTGCCACAAGGCAGCTTATTAGGTCCACTACTTTACTTGTTATACACCTTGTGATTTTCTTAATCCATGTTTGCATAAGATACAGCAATGGTGTCAATAGGACCCAAGCATCAATAATTCATCCTATTTTCAAACCCTTCAAAAGGCTTGTAACAAGATAAAGAAATGGACAAAAATGGAGAATCCAGCTCACTCAGCATACTATATTTATAAATTTTACAGTTTTAATAAATAAACAAAAAAATATGTAAAAAAATTCTGGGAGGCCGAGTGATGTGCCTACACAGGAATAAATGGAAATCCTATATAACGCATGGTGGAAAAACATTAAATCTCAGATATAATATAACCTAAACTGTTTAAAAGGATAGTTCCTACTCACAGTAAGTTGTTTTGCAACGACCGGATTTCGAGCCTTTTAGCTCATCATCAGGTTGAAGGACTTCTACAACCACGTCTCTCGACATGAATTGCCAAAGTGAACCGCTGATACCTCCGCCAACGCAACGTTCCAATTATCAGCTGATTTTTTTAATGACGCTCAATTTGAACGTGCGAAACGCGGAAATTATAACACAAATAAATATTAGAATAATAAATACTTAATATTACTATAAATTACTATAAAAATAATAACAATTAAAATAATTAGATTAATTATTTGGATGTTTGATATTATTTATGTACATATTTAAAATGGGAGGTAGATCAAAATCTGTTATATTATTAATGCATTTATAATATAATATAACATCATGCAAGAATTTTTTTGAATGCATTAATAATATAACAGATTTTGATCTACTTCCCATTTTAAATATGTACATAAATAATATCAAACATCCAAATAATTAATCTAATTATTTTAATTGTTATTATTTTTATAGTAATTTATAGTAATATTAAGTATTTATTATTCTAATATTTATTTGTGTTATAATTTCCGCGTTTCGCAAGTTCAAATTGAGCGTCATTAAAAAAATCAGCTGATAATTGGAACGCTGCGTTGGGGGAGGTATCAGCGGTTCACTTTGGCAATTCATGTCGAGAGACGTGTTGTAGAAGTCCTTCAACCTGATGATGAGCTAAAAGGCTCGAAATCCGGTCGTTGCAAAACAACTTACTGTGAGTAGGAACTATCCTTTTAAAGAGTATTGAACACCACACTCACTCCATCATTTATCATTTCTATTAACCTAAACTGTTACTTAACCTGTATAGAAAAAACGTACAGTATTGCCCATATGAGAGCTATTTACCATCAAGAAAAATGTTTCATTCTTCTTCCTTTAATTTGAAACTCTTTCAAAATATACACACAAGTAAAAACAGTATAAGCATCCATTTTGCTCATTTTCACACAGAAACTGAATACAAACTGAACAGTGATGCTTTGGAGTAAAGGAAAAAAGGATTTGGGTGCTAGTAGTAGGGCTAACCCGCCTTCCTATCTGAGTGGGTAAAGTGGCTTATATTAACAATTTATTGTGCTTGAAAAAAATGAAGTGGATAGCATTTGGCGGGCCTAAATTGACCCAGGCATCATTTACATCCAACATGAGCAGTAATTTGTAAAGCAATTACATTTTTGTTAAAAATTTATCAAGAAAAATCCTTTACATTCAGGAAAGACCTAACAGAGGAATACATTGAATTATAGATTTAAAAAAGATATAAAAAATACAGTACAAGTGAAAAAACATTTTCCACATCACAACACACCAATGATGGTGTGAGTGTTAAAAGTAGAGTGAAAAACTGAGACATCGTAAGGAGGAATGTGATTGGGTTGAGAACACTCACTCCCGGTCTTGTGTTTAAACCCTCCATTTCCCTAGAAATTTGGAAATTTTATACTGTGTAAATTAATGTGGGAATAGTCAATGAATAAAACATCTTCCATTATATGTTATATTATTACATATTTGTATATACAATAAATTTATGTATTTTATATAAATATATGTCGTTTGTTTTTACTTTTTTTACATTCTGATTTATGGTCTCAGTGACAAAATCGACACAATAACAAAAATATCATTCAAATTTAATAACAAACATCAATGCTTAATTATATTAATTTTATTTGTAAATAATCTCTACTATACAGGCTTATCACCTCGCAGACATCAACGCAATATCCCGAAATATTAATTTATTGTAATAAAACATCACATTACTTGACGAGGAACTACAAACATATATAATATCCTTTATACAAAGACAAAAAAAACCTAAACGTACAAATTAAATTTAGATCCCATTTGTATATTTGCTACATAAATCAGTCCTGTGCTTATAATACTGAAAATCTAATAATTTTAAAACATATTTTCTCTCTAGAAAAAATAATGGCACGCATCAAAAGAAACAATAAAATTAAATTTGAACAGATATACAAAAAGTTGCCAATTTTTAATATATGCTTTTAAAAGTTATGCACCATTCATTCATATTATAACTATTACTTTTTTATCATTAATTTTACCTCCTTATAAATAAATAAATAAACTAATATAAAACTGAAATATTTATGTTACAAACATTCAACCAAAAATAAAACTATAACACTTTGCTAGACGAACCGTAAATACTTCATATTACAAAAAAATTATTTTTTATTATATTAATAATGGTGGAAAATTGTAATATGTTTTTACAATGGCAGAAGATATAAAATGTTTCATCTTTAAAATTAGTTTTAATTTGGCTGTTTACGATCATCCTGGGCTGCCTGTCCTTGCAGTTTGGGTATGCCTGTTCGGCCAGAACTTCACGTTTTGTGGATAATAAAATTTGGATACACATCCGAAACAGCAAGGAAAGTCCAAAATGATCAGAAGCGATCAAACTGCCTTGTATATCTCAAGAAGAATCTCACAATTAAAATTACTGACAAGATATTACACGTATTCATGATTTTGTTTTAGTATATATACCATATATAAAACAAGAGGTAATTTATAAACACTAAATCTTCACTAAAATAAAATAATGTAATTTGTAATTCTTATTTATTGTAAATGCAATCATCATAATCCAAAAATTGGTTATCATTAGAATTGATTTCAGTCAAAAAGTAAATTATTATTCATTTAAATGCAAAGCATTACATTTACAATGTAAATTATAATTTATACACACATTTGTGTATAAGAAATTCATATAAACCAACTAATTATTGGTAATATTTGGTTAATCCGTGGTGGTTTACTTATACTAAGCTTCCTTTTATCATTTTCTGGATACCATTCTCACTCTCACTCTCACTCACTCTATCTCTCTCTCACACACACACACACTCACTCATTCCCTCCCTCCCACTCCCTCCCTCTTTTATACCTTCTGTTTTCTCTTTCCTTATAAATGTCTTTATCCACTATTAAAACATTCAGTCCTATCACTATTTTTTTTTTACATCTTTCAAGTAGGGAGTATTTCATGTTTTGTGCTTAATATCCTAGTATAACTTCAATGCCATGAATTAACTCATTATATTTTCATGGCAGTTAACAGTTCCTACCCTATGAAAATATATCGAATTGCCTATTTATTTATTATTTAGATAACACTGCTCAGTTGGGTACTGCAGCATAATTTGTTCGTCGGGTTAGCAATGGCATACAACTACAACAAAATGAAAAGTAGAATAGCATTATGAAAGCTAGTAATTAAATGAAGATTTAACATTTTATTTACCTGCAAGTATGCTTGTTCCAGGAAAAGCCTGTGACACAGTCACTTTTATATAAACAGTTACATTCGCATTTTTGCGCATTCCAGTACTTTGTTCCACTCTCGGCCAAACATTTCTTTTTGTCGTCATCGTTGGTACAAACACAAGCACATTCAGATTCTTTGTAAACTTGTAATGGGCTGCAATCCTGAAAATAATACGAGAATTGTCAAAAAATACAAAATCAACATAAAATTTGTCAGGAAATTATGTTGGAAGCTCAACTCCTACATAAATTACATAAATGTACAGAAGGTTTAAAAATAAAATTTCAAAAATAGTACTTTTTTAACTAACGGTACACAAAAAATGGTCATTATAATTAATAATGAAAAAAATAAGTAGTACAAAAATTAAATTCAGTAGAACAAAAGGCTAAAAGAAATACAGAGGTAATGATACAAAGTCTGCTGTGTATGAAAAACATTAAACCTCAAAAATTTCATACTAAAAATGAATGTGGTGGAACTGACCGAAGTAGAAGTAAAAATGAAATGAACCTGGGCAGGACACACAGCGAGAATGGAGGAACCAAAACAAAACGTGTTTTAGTCTACAAACAAAGGAGTAAAAAATAGAAAAAGAGGTTGAAAATTTAAGATATGAGAAGGGGACTTCATAAAAATTGCAAAAAATAATAGGACATACAAAAAAGGAATAATGGAAACAAAAGAAAAAGGACTATGCTTCCTGAAGGTCCTGTCTCAAATATGTATCTAAGATTGTTCAACATGATTTTATCCTCTCTAATCACTTCGGGCCTTACCATCCACCACTGAAGTTAGGATCCAGGAGCTTTCAACAGCTTCATATAAGCCCCCAACACATGCACTTTTGAAACCTAGAAACACTCTTACAAATACTTAAATTATGTAATAAAGGATCGATGGGGTATTCAGTATTCTACCCCAACACATGCACTTTTGAAACCTAGAAACACTCTTACAAATACTTAAATTATGTAATAAAGGATCGATGGGGTATTCAGTATTCTACCATTTGTCTCTCAAACACGTTCATGCTAATAAATACATTCACTATCAATAAAAGAAACATATAATGAAATATCAGTACTTTGCACAATAAAACATGCCTGTTTCTTTCTAAAATCAGCACACAGGATACAAATTCTCGCTGCTCAAGCATAATTATCATATCGGGTGGCATTCCTACACGCTCTATATATGGAGCTATCAAGTGAAACAGATGGAGCAGCCGAACAAATCAGCAGGCCTATTCTTAACCAAGTGAGGATGATCCCTCTTCTACGATTCAGAATGTAGGAGCTTCTCTGCTGATCCAAACCGCTAAATTATGGCTGAACTGTGTTAATTTATAAAATTTAGAATTGTTAAATGTTGTGTGAAAACTTTAATTTCATACCTTGGCTTTTCTCCTGCACGTGCAGCCACATTTAAGATGTTTGACTACTGATACAAATTCTGTTCTCGGCGGAGAATATTTCTTTCCTCCTAGATATCTTCTGATGAAAACCTGAGATCATTAAAATTTTATTATTTACTTTGAAGAATTATTGTTTAGCCAGATTTTGTTTTTATGCAATGACATGTTATCATAGCATCTGACTATTTTACTGTAAATTTTTAGTAGATAGTCTTAAAATCTAAAGAATAGACAAACTATTGCAATGCACAATTTAAAAAATACTACTTACTCTGTAGTAAACTAATTCTGTCTCGTATGGAGCACAGATAAAGATTTCTGGTTGAACACAAGATCCTCCACAACGATCAATTCTTGTACTTCTTGGAAAGTAGACTTCAGACAAGTCTTTGTGCCTCCTTAAGCTAACCTCGTGTTTTTCAATGGCACAATTAGCAGGTGGGGCAAGGAGCAATGCTGTAAAATAATTATTACTTTTTTAAACAAATTATAAACATCAATATTGTTCAGCAGAGTGTAAAACCAAATGTTTGTATTGTGAGATTTTTTGTTAGTGTTATTTCTGATTATCTTGGTCTGCCAATTTCACTGGTTTGTTCTGCCAGCATTTTGTCATAAAACACAAAAATTGACCATTGAATATGATCAAATGCTGAAAAATATCTGCCAGACAAGCGAGAAGAGAATGATCATAAATGCCCAGCCTACAAATCTTCATACTTTTAACAATGTAGCATATTATCAAATTGCATGATTTCCTCCTGTGGCCTGCAAGGTGATGAACCTGTAATTTAATCATTACAGTTTGATCGTAACCGATCATTTTGGTCTGCCCCACTGGGTTGGTCTTTCAGACGTGTTCCTGCATTTTGCCATCTTCAGTGGTGGGTTTTTGTGTAAAACAGAAATACTGACCCACACATATGATAGATGACAGTCAAAAATTGGTAAACGGACGTGATCAAAAACAACCAGATTATAAATTTTTATTGTCTTTAAAACAGGCAACTGGACTATCTCCAATAAAGATCTTAGCACATTTTCCTAGTTTATGCATATATACCTTCTATTTATCTAATGTTTTAGTAATAATTTAAACCACTCATGACTTACCATATCTGTCTAAAGTAATACATAGGAAGGAAACAGAACGTTGCAAAATATATTTTGAAATTTGGTTAGTACTAGTCATTTTGGTCTGTCCATTGTCATTGGGTTGTCAGACATGTTTTTACATTTTGCATTTTTCATTTGAAGTGGGGGGTTTTGGTGTAAAACAGACAACAGAAGATGACAAAATGCTGACAAAAATCTGACAGCCCATTGTCAAGAATAGGTAGACCAAAACTATCAAAAACAGCCCAACTACAAATTGGCAACTGAACTATCTCTAACAAAGATCTTAGTACATAATCAAATGTTACGGTGATCATTTAAGTTATTCATGCCATATTTGTTTATTATAAAAAATAGGAAGCAAACAGAATATAGGAAATATATTTTGAAATTTTGTCGTAATAGGTCATTTTGATTTATCTCTCCTACTGGGATGGTCTGACAGACATGATCCCACATTTTGCCATCTTCACTGGTGGTAAAAGAGACATATTGAAGATGGCAAAATGATGACAAGGCATCTGACATAACAAAGTGATAGAAAATGATCGATAACGACCAACCTTCATATTCATAGCCCTACAGACAACATGGAGAAATCTCAAAATTATCTTCTTTATTCATGCTTAGATAAGTAAAAAAAAAAAGTTTATGAATTGGTTCTTACTTATATTTCCCAGAGCTGCTACCTCTTCTGATGTCTGCAACAAACAAAACAATTATAAATCAAATAAGGTAAATATATTGCTGGAAAAAAGAACATATAATGTACTTGTCATGTTTGATCAGTTGCTGATCATAATATTTAATTACATTATACATGAAATCATAGGTTTCAAAATTGTGAATAAATGTTCTTATTTCTTAATATTTTAAAGTATTACTTAAAATCTTGATGAAGGGGATGTACTTAACGAAAGTTTAACAAAGGGGCCGAGTATTTTCTTTCTAACCGGCCTCAACCTTTGTTTTTAAACATATAATTTCAGGACAACAGCCACCACTGAACAGCTAATGCCAGGTCACGCTAACCATTTATCTGGTGTCATCTACACCAAAGCAGTCTTAGCCTGCTGTCTTTTTTCATCAATGAATTCACATCCTTTATCAGTCCCCAAATCATATACTTACCACTAAGAAACTATTCCTACAATTATAAGCCCTCCCATCGAACTTTTAAACAAAAAACTAAAAGGTACAGAAAAACCATCAACTGTATCATCCCTGTGGTAGGGTACTGCTATATTGACCCAACCATTAACTTTTTGCCCTTCAACTTTGCAATTTTTTCGCGGTCGTGGGTTCGATTCCCACCGTCGCAAAAAAAAAAACTGCAATCTTTACACGACATTTGAAAAATGGCAAAAAGGAGGGAAAATTCAAAAGGTGCGGTTGAGTTGGGAAGTTGGCGTCCGAGTGGATCGAGGTCACGATAGCTCAAGTGGTAAAGCAGCGGCGTATCTAGCCGAAGATCGTGGGTTCGAATCCCCTCTCGTGCCATTGACTTTTTTATTTCAACTAAAAACCTTAATTAATTGTAATATATTAATTGGTCAAGCGGACCACGAAATTAGTGAATCTATGTAACACTGTTGTATTTAAATTTGAATTGAAATTATGTTTTGTTTCTTTTAGATGGCCCTTAAATTCCGAAAATTTGTTCGATTTAGGCAAGTGTTCTTTTTACTCTCGTTTTTATTTCTCTACCGCTTTGTCCTATATATTTAATATCACCATCAATACAATTAAGTTGGTAAACCCCGCTTTTTGCCAAGTTGTCTACCTTTTGCAATTCATGTCGAGAGACGTGGTTGTGGAAATCCTTCAATCTGATGATGAGCTAAGGGCTCGAAATCCGGATCGTTGCAAAATAACTTACTGTGAGTAGGAACTATGTTTTTTAAAAAAGGATTGAACACCGCACTCACTCCATCATTCATCATTTCTAAGACCTAAACATTCCTTTTATCGATAAACTGATCCGATCCAGTTCCCAAAGTTCCAGACCAAACTCTCGATACATTCTAATCACACACACTGCCCAAGCCTTATTTTAAAAGATGATGACCTCCAGGCCACTTATTCCATCATATTAAATGCCAGTGTTGGCTGGATTCTCTTGTATGTGTCCTCTGTGTACAATGTTGGCCAGGCAGCTACGAATAATTTTTAAAAACAGTTCTACTTGATTGATTGGTTTTTGTATATGGTCAGCCTGTTGCAGAAAAGCAAATTTTATTGTAAGTTTTCACTTATCATACACATTACAAGTCGGATAACATGAATTCAGTGGTAAGATAAAAAATCGCCCGTTATCAAAGGAATGTGTCATTTTGCCGTCATATTAAAAATCAATTAAGAATAAATAAACATTTTGAGTTTATTTGTTTTTGTACTATATGATTATATCTGCACCCTCACGAGATGTGAATATTTCAGACAGGCCTGGGAAACTGTATAATTGATAAGGTCGAGTAGGAAACTTTCTCCCGTGTCAGTCTATATTTAAAATTCAGTCGAATATATTTCATTTGGCGTTACTTTTGTCATGTAAATTCTATGAAATTGTGAACGTTATCAGACTGTTCACATTTGGGAAATCCATATCGTAAGTGCCTGCGTACAAGCTCATATCTACTTTCAAGATGTCGTCATGCAATATTTTCCTCTTTCGAATGAATTCAAACTTTTATCAATTAGTCGTCACACAATTTCTTTTTACTGAAAAGCTTTATATGAAAAGTGACGAGGATGGTTATGCTCTTCATGATAGAGGCTTTCATCAGCTTGAAGACATCCAAAATCTCAAAACTTCAGAAATAAGGTTCAGATAAAATTAGCGGATCAAACTATTAATTGACACTCAGTTCGTGAAGAAGAAGCTTGTAAAAGCATGAAAAGCAGTTATGAGTATAAGAAAAAAGTGACGAGATCGGTTGTGCCCTTTATCGTGGACTCATCTTGAGGTCTCATCATAAAGATAGTCGGTGTGACTCTCGTGACATTGCAGTCACTTGATGACGACCCACCGGGGCCCGATCGCACACCCCTGTCGGCCGCCGGCACTGAGGGTCCACTCCAGCACCGTGAGGTTTATTACATTTTGGTTTTTCTTGGCTGGATTTTCAGGGTACCTTCCATTAGCCATGTTGAGAGAAATATTGAGGGGGAATAGGAGAAGGGAAGCTAAAAAGGAAAAGAGATCAAAGAGGAAAATAAAATTATTAAAAGAAGGGAGAGATCGCCCCTCCGGGATAAAAGTGAGGAAGATGCTCTTTTAGTTGGCTCTTACGACAGGCAGAAAAACCGTGGATTCTACCCCGGGACCCACATGGGAACTAACTGGTGTTATGAGTATGAGAAGTGGTGAGTTGTGTTCTTCATCTTGGTGCCTTTTATTTTTCTTGAAGACAGTCCAAATCCCAAAAATCAAAAAATAAGTTTTAGAGAAAATTTTAGGTTCTAGTGAGACTCAGTTCATGGCAGAAGAAGCTTGAAAAACTGAAAAATCGTTAACACTCATTACATGGCAGGAGAAGTTTATATTTTAAAAAACAGGCTCAGCTGGATTGAGTCAATTGGGGCTGCTGAGGATGTTCTCGTAAGCTCAAACGACAAAATAAATATTTATGTCACGGAATTGAATTTTCTTTTCTTCCCTAGTTGAAATAAAATTTTAAAAACCTTGCAACAGAAAACAATATGTTATTATTGAAGAAAAACACTTTTATCCCTTTGGAAGGTAGTAATTTACTTTTAGCCATTTTTTTAATTAAAAAAACCTAATCATCGGTTAATCAAAAGAGCAATTTTTTGTTTAAATAATATTTTCAACGAGAGCGAAATTGTAAAACGGATTAATAAAATAAAAGGCTAACCTAAATGGATGAGCTCACGACTAAAACTTGGCTAATATCCTGGAACCATTCACAACTGGACATAACAAAGAGGCCAATTTACTCTGTTGTGCACACCGTTGAGCAGATTGTGCAGCCTTGAGCAGTACGTTCCCAACAGTTCATTCTCTTCATATTTGCAACTCGACGACTGTTTTGTTATCAGAAGCGATGTTGTGTAATATATAAACGTGCCTATGAATCGTTTTTTCTTAGGTTCTGCAATTATGCAAGCCTAAGATTCCGTAAATGAAACCGGAAGGGATCTGTTAAACCGGCTAGCCTCCAGTCCTCCTTTATTTTACACAATGCTAACAAAAGGAGTCTTGTCGACTCGATACGCCTCTTTACAATGGACGCCTTGGTTCGACTCAAATTCGGCTTATCTTATTGACTAAAATAAATTGGCTAACGGCTCGCGATTAGCAATTTCGAATGAATTTCGTTTATAAACGGCGTAGATTTGGTAGAGATTAACAGCATATTACAATAGACGACGTTTTTCTCTAAAAAAAAGTCTATCGTCTCAAGTTAGATAAAATTTAATCTTAACCTAAATGCCGACGCCCTTACGAGTTTTGACGCAGCTTTAACATTTTTATAACACAAAAAACTTTCAATTAAGTGACAAATCCCTTTTTTTTTTTTTTTTTTCAACAACGATAAACTTATCAAAAATTTGTGATTTGACGATCAAACTAAAATTAATGAAGGTGAAATTTGTCATTTCACCCACAGTTAAGCTATGAACCTATTCGGACGTTAAAAGAAAGCAAAAGGTACAGATTTTGATTGTAGCATCATCGCTTAAATAAGAGTACATCTTATTACACTGGAAAAACCAAAATAACCGGTCAACAGCTTACGCAATTTGTCGACGTTACAGAATTCAACAAACAAACCAATGTGTTTGATTACCGTTTCTGACAACCGTCGCTGAGCTTATAAAATATTCATTTTTTTATGCAATTGCCCTATGGATGAGGGGAGTGGATGAAATTGTAGGTAACACCCACCCTAAGAAACGAAATAAACATTTTTTTATTTATTGCAGGTTGTGAATGTTCTATAAATAAACAGCTACGATAGAAGTCAAAATCGTGGACGAATATAAAAAATTATCTATGAAAAGACTTTCTAAAAGTCGTGTATACTTTTGTGCATATTTTTAAATTTTTCTCTAATGAAGTTTCTTCTAGAAAGATATTCACTCATGAATCTATTTTCTTTGTAATTTTTACAACTGAGGTGAAAAATAAACCAAGATATTGCCATTCACAAAGACGTGGAAGCTTAATCTAAAAAGCAACCTCTTTAATAATACGTATATATTAAAGAGGCTAAATTTTTACCATTAGGTATAATTTATTTGGTTCGGTCTAAACCAGAGAAAAGTTTCCTGCAGATCGGTTGAGTTGACTCAAAGTTATCATTATTAAATTCACTAATTTTTGTGGTCCGCTTGACCAATTAATATCATTAAATTAATTAAGGTTTTTAGTTGAGACAAAAAAGTCAGTGTCACGAGCGGGATTCGAAGCCACGACCTTCGGCTTGAAACGCCGCTACTCTCACAAGTGGTAGGGTAGTCGTGGGTTCGAATCCCGCTCGTGACACTGACTTTTTTATTTCAACTTAAAACCTTAATTAATTGGATGTTATCATTATTTTTGTAATTTTCCAAAAAATGCAGTCGTTTTTGAAGGTGCAAAAAACGGATATTAACCTTGCTTCTGGCTAAAAAAATATTTTAGCCAATTTTCAAACCTCCCTAGGTTGGATTAGCATGGGATAAATTTTTTTTC